CTGCTTTGTATCAGTGGTCCAGGTGCTGCTGGCTGTGTATACCTATATGTGTATATCTATATACCTATGCAAATGGGAATACTGTTTTTAGGCACTGCAAGCTAATGAGACAGTTGTGCACATGGTTCCCATTAAGACTCCTTGTAAAACCCCTCCAAGACCCCCTGAAATTACACCCCGTTTTTGATTACAGAAGAATTGTCAGGAAGTTTGGGGCTTCCGCAGCAGCTGTGACAGACTCGCCAAACTACTATTTTCCTCTGATGAGTAAACATTACTGAACTTGGGTCGACACGCTGCCGGTTTTTGCATCATCACGTGAACTTTCTTGGCTTGCTACCTGTGAATACTTCTGTCAGTGATAAATGTTGTAGCTACAATGAGCTGCTGTGTGTTTGTACCTCAGGCGAGAGCTCTGCTGCTCAAAGCAGGTTTGGTGTCGTTAGTTTTGATTAGGACACGGAGAAGGAGGCCGAACCCATCTGGAAGACAAGCTGGGGTGTTCAGACGGAAAAATCCCGCAGAAAACACACACTGATGAATAAAAGTCTGTGTACCTGCTCTCCATGTGGCCAAATGGCTGAAACTTTTTTTAAAAAAAATTAGCACATTTGAAAGAAAAATCAAATGTAATTTGGCGGGAGATTTCTCGAGGTCAAATTATATAAAAAAAGACAAAGCGGGAACAAGCTCTGTCCATTTTTCTGTGTTTGTGGACGTATTGTTAATTCTAGCATCCACAAACATTCTCTGGATGTTTGGGCTGAGCTCTGACTCTCCACCTTAGTTTCTCATGATGGTAGAGGTTTAAGAAGTAAAGCTTGTTTAAGCCTGCCGTCTTTTGCAGGCTGTGGTAAGTGAATTATGTGAAATCCTGAGGAACGAGGGTTCACGCACAGTGAACTGTTCCCACTGGCTCCCTCCACAGATCCTCACAGCCTCTCTGGGGGTTGGCTGTGCGGCTGCCTGGCTGTAAATCCCAACTCTGGCCGTCGCTGAGTCGTGTTCGTCCCGGCTTTAATCCGTCCAGCGGCGTGCGGCGGTGGGATTTGGAGGACAGTTTGGCTTTAGCTTCCATGTAAACAGAGAATGAGGTTAAAGCTGGGGACAGCTGGACCGTCATTCACTTTCAGCCTCAAACAAAATGCCAACTGCAGCACTAACAACCACAGAAAACCAGCATTGATAGAGCTGCTGTTCTGGTGGTACTGCCATAAAAACACAAGTTTAACATGTAATGTTAGCAAAATTACTCCAAAGAATTTAAACGACATAAAGGATCTCGAACACTCAAAGATTCAAATGCACGTCCCTGTATTGCGGAGGAATGCTGTCTCTGTGAACCGCTCATGGATGTCCTCTAATGTAAATGGATTTACTGAAGCAACACTAGTTGTACTTGTTTTTTGGATAATTTGGATTATGGTATAATTCCCTGTAATTAAATGGAATTATAATTGAATTACGTTTAAATTACAATTATATTTACCTACAAATACATAAAGGTTGGTTCACTAGAATAAGGGGGTAGGGAGTCAAGTTTTTACAGGAAACAAAGAAATATTTATACTCTAAATACATTTATGTAGTGTGTAACTTCAGATATTTTACAGGAAAGCAGACAGAAATTATTCTGTACATAATTTTAACTGCAGTGTAAATAAATTAAAGTCTGTAATTTCATGGTAATTTTGCAGAAAAACAATGTTTCTCCATCTCACCTCATAGGTCTGCTGTAGCTTTTGGTCAGGGGCCATATCATGCACAAGACTAATGTTTGTTTATTTATTTTAACTTTAAACAAATGTCATTAACTAAATTATCAATAAACTGTTTCAAATCTCTGCTAAATAATTACTAAAAAGTGAGGGAAATTGAATAATAGAACATCATGTACATAAACATAATGATGATAGAGATGTAAAAGTGCAAGATTGAACACTCAGTAATACGGGCCTCGCTCCTCCTATTGTTTGTTTTTCCACAAAATTCCTATTAAATTGTGCTCTACCTAAAGGTACGCATTGCTTTACTTAGTGTAGTGTTTATCTATATCCATACTATGAAGTAATAGCCTTAAATAACATTAAGCATTAAATACATTTAATCTGATAATAATTCTTTCTTTGATTCCTGTAAAAATCAGACTTGTTAGCCCCTTATTCTAGTGTACCTACCTTTAAGTATTTGTAGGTAAATGTAATTACATTGTAATTCAAAATAAAATAACTTTATAATTATAAAATGAAATGCAGGGGAGTCGTATTGTAAAGTTTTAACAGATTATGTGTCAAAGCTATTTTAATAGAATGATACAAGGCTGAAAAACGGGGCCTCAGCAAAGGCTCATCAACACAACACAAAACACTATTACTGGCCTTCTTCCTTTCCTGGATTACACTTCTAAAAACAGGGAGGGAAGTTTGGTCTGAATTTCCAGAATTACAAAACATAAGTTTGCACTTGTATGGAGACACTGGGAACAGCACATTTTCTTAGATACAGATTTTCATCCAAATAGACTTTTCAGGTGTCATATTTAAATAGGTTGTGTGTATAAGCATCACCTTGATTTGTTATGCTGTCTACTCAGCAAACGTGTCTGTTAGATATTAATGTTTCTATTTGTAATAAAGGTTCAGTATCCATCAGATTACTGCAGTGAAGGAAATTAAGCAAGTAAGCAAAATGTATCTACATATACGTCTCTGTTAGTTTTCATTCTGGAACAAAGAACCATTGAAAGGTTTTAGTCGGATGACCTCAATGACCTGCATGATATTTATTAATGCAGGAGTTCACTAATGTCAGCAGACGTGACTATGCAGAGCTCTCAAAGTAATCACCACTTTGGACAATTTATAAGTGACTTACTGAGACTAGTTTACAGTGAATTACAATTGGACACGGGGGAGAGCCTTCAGTTTTCAGGCCCCTCTTCTGTGGAACCAGCTTCCAGTTTGGGTTCAGGAGACAGACACTATCTCTACTTTCGAGATTAGGCTTAAAACTTTCCTTTTTGCTAAAGCATATAGTTAGGGCTGGACCAGGTGACCCTGAATCCTCCCTTAGTTATGCTGCAATAGACGTAGGCTGCCGGGGATTCCCATGATGCATTGAGTGTTTCCTTTCCAGTCACCTTTCTCACTCACTATGTGTTAACAGACCTCTCTGCATTGAATCATATCTGTTATTAACCTCTGTCTCTCTTCCACAGCATGTCTTTATCCTGTCTTCCTTCTATCACCCCAACCGGTCGCAGCAGATGGCCCCCTGAGCCTGGTTCTGCTGGAGGTTTCTTCCTGTTAAAAGGGAGTTTTTCCTTCCCACTGTCGCCAAAGTGCTTTCTCATAGGGGGTCATATGATTGTTGGGTTTTTCTCTGTATCTATACCTTGAGGCGACTTTTGTTGTGATTTGGCGCTATATAAATAAAATTGAATTGAATTGACACCATTCAACTGAGGCACAAAACATGGACAAAGTAGTATGACAAAGACTATTAACATGGTTATCAAAGCTAAGAGCCTGGTCCAATGTAATAAGTACATTTCTGACTTTTGATTGAACCAATGATGGCCAAGATTGTTGATCACAGTGGCAACAAAGCACAAACAAGAACTTATAATGATAATGATAACTGATAATTATTTTTGCAACATTCTGTGAAGAAATAAAACGTATAACTGGATATCATGTCATATGTAAGATATGTGACACCTTTAAAAATGCCCAAAACAAAACCTTGAGACACACGACAGGACAAGATAACAGAGGAGAACCCAAAGTTTTCAGCAATGATCAATGTGAGGATTTGGATGATGCTGTTAAATCAAAAATGTTCATCTTTCCTCGTCAAAATTTCATTAAAAATTCTAAGAAGAGCAGCTTCTAAAGAGTGATGATGATAAAATCAAGAACTGCACATATTTTTGTTGTTGTTTTTAATGCAGTGGCGTCTGATTCACATTTGGTTACTAAACAGCTGTGAATGAAGCAATAAAACACTTTTAAGTCAGTTACATGTGTCTGCATGTAAACTGTCTGATTTCTTTCATGGCAAACTTCACGTCTTTATTGTCACACTCATCAACTCTGCCACCTGATGTTATCATTATAAATCTGTAATGGATGCTAATGATGCTTTAATTCACTCAGAAGGATGAGAAAGAAGGAGATTTGGTCGTTAACTTACTGTTAGGGAGCAGTATTTTTGACATTAATACTAATTTCTCGATGGAAAAATATGAGACAGCTTCTGAACACAAGCTTTGTTTTCTGGAAAGTCTAAGGAGGACATCTAGATGATGTTTAAGATTGATAAATAATCATCTCAACTATCAAGCTCAAGCTATCAAGAAAGGCTGCTGGCTTGTTTGTTTGGATATTCTTTATCTTTAGTTGTTTTTTTTAACATTTCCACATTACTTCTTTTGAGTTCTTTAAGATTTATTGGTATTTATAATAATAAATGTATTAAATTATGCACACTTTTCAGTAACCGGTGCAAGATAATGTACAAACGTGCAAACTTTCTACTCCAAAGCAATCAAAGCGTCTTCCTAAAATCGCCTTTTCTCTACCTTGATGATGTACCACTTCCACCTGCACTGAGATTATGAGATGCTACTGCTTCTCTTCATCTTATCATGTCTCTAAGGCTGATCTCTAAATTATCAAGAATGCATAGTGACAACTGCAAAGCCCATTTCCAAGCAATCCCTAAACTTCATGCTGGAAGTTTCCTCCAAGATTTCCCTCCAAATGTGTTTAAATGTCAACATAGAACCACCATAAAACAATTTCCAGCTGAAGATAGTGAATAGAATTCCTCTTTAGGACACTCTTTAGTCAAACTTTCATTATTTTTAAGCTTATTTCATAGTGTTGTGAGGGTGCAAGTCATGATCTTTTTCATTATTTTTAAATTGAAGTTTCTATAAATGTAACCACAGAAGCAATATCTGTAACTCAGGTGGAGTGGTAGATATGCAGACGCACCTGTCAATGGCGCTGCTTCCTCTCTTGGCTGTCGTGGTCCGACCGGCTCTCAGTTCACCGTTCATCCTGGCGTCTGGAAAACAAACCGTCAAATTAAGTTAGACACTGAGGCCTGGTGTCTCAGCACCTGACGCGAGGAAGACGGTAATGGAGTTAGACATAAAACACTGCCTGAACCCACAGCTGACACACACACACACACACCTGTATTACTGACAGTACACTATCCATCACGTTACGTGGCATTACACTGACATACTTTCCTAGAGACTCACTCTTACTTTGGCCTTAAAGCAAGTCTACAAACACTAACTAAAGCCATAAGCCACACACAGCTCTCACACAGCACTTGCACAACTCTCAAAAGTAAATTAATAAAGAAAAACTGTACCACAAACAAAGTGCACAGCTACACACCCTCCCTGTACACAAACACACACACACACAGCCCCAGCGGGCTCAGCCGGCGGCCCTAACGAGTGGCCAGAGCAACTAATTGGCTTCCATCTGTCAGACTGGAGTTAATTTTCTCTCACATTCATGCTGCTTTCCTCCTATCAACAACAAGCATGTCTGTCAGCCAAAGAGAGCACAAAAATGGGGTATGCCCTAACAAAAGGGAAGCAGAAAATTTGATTTCAGAAACCCCTGTAAACTCTTGTGCCGGGCTGTTACATCATGCTGCCATGATAAATCTCTGAGGTTGTGTCTGGAAGTTACAGCAAAGAGAACGGGCTCCAGAAAAATGAGAGAATTACTCTCCTGAGCAAGTTTCATAAACTGAAAGTAGACATAAATCTGCAAAGGGGAAAAAATTGAAACCTTATCCTGGGGCAAAGTCCTCCAATTTGTTAAATGTTTTTCATGGATTTGTTTATTCATACATACAGGACACGCACAGTTTTTATGTCGCTCTGACCACAGAAGTTGATACTGAGGCTCCCCAAACAACTGCCCAGACTTATTACCAAGTATGACTTTGAGTTAAAAAGTTGCAATCTCTGGGGTCACTGAAAGTTTCACTTCCATTTCACTTCTTAACATCCAAAAAGCTATCTGTAACCATGCAGGTATGCTTTGGTTTACATCTACCTCATGAGAGAAAGTTTCTCAAACAAGACTCACTGGCTGAAAAGATGCTAAAATATACCCGACTAGCATCTATTTTATCTAGTCGGGTATATTTTATTTTATTTATCTCAAAGTTGGAGATGCAGCATTGTCATCATCTAGACCAGGGGTGGGGAACTCCAGGCCTCGAGTGCCGGTGCCCTGCAGGTTTTAGATCTCACCCTGGGTCAAAACACCTGAATCAAATGATTAGTTCATTACCAGGCCTCTGGAGAGCATCAAGACAAGTTGAGGAGGTAATCTAGCCACTGAAATCAGCTGTGCTGAGAACAATTTAAACTCCAATCCTCGTCCGCTGAAACCCATTTCACATCTGAATGCTAAGCTAACTCAGAAACCACAAGTTTATAATGCATCAGAACAAGCAAGCTAATGTACGACAAGTTCACCATAACGAAATTTACATGTATGCACCAAAATGGTTCAAACTCTATATATTATATGCATTGCGTGGCCATATATATTTATGTAACATAGTAACTCAGTTATTGAGCTTATGCTCTTTACATAAATGCCTTTTTTTGCTGCAAACGTGCTACAGTCAGCTGGCTTTTTGTTCATGTGCTGTGAGGTGGGAAATTTTAGAGTGATTTACAGCTTAGGAGTAGAGATGTGGACTTTTATTTATTTATTGCATGACAGGACACTAACGAGAAGCTAAATTGCAGAGACAGCTGCAAAGCACACAAAGCTAGTTGTGAAGAACCCAGAGTGGCGTATGCAGTCTCCAGCCCAGGAGCCAGAGCCTGATTTTCAGTAGGTAACAAAGCAGTGATGAGCAGCCTTATTTCTACAGTAGAATCAGTGTGGTGATCACAGTGGAGTGCTCTCTGGATTAATATTAGAATGAGTAGTATAATAAATAACGTTTTATCTAAGGCTGTACATGACCCTAACCCTATGTTTGTGAGAAAGGCACAACTGGCATTTTGAAACAAATGTGAAGTTTTTGATGTGTCACTTGGAATTAATATTTTTTTTCATTCCCCCCAAGTTCAGATTTGGTCTCGGCATTTATGATGAGGTGGTGACCATCTGGCAATCACTGATCAGGAGAGAAAAATGTGTGTTCCCCAGCCAGTTGGCAGCTAACATGAAATTAAGTGCTAAAGCCACATTTACTGTATATACTTATTTAGGCTTAGACAATGTTCAGTGACCCCCTGAAAACCACCAGTCTAGGGGAAAACGTATATTCTAAGACTGGTTGGTGATTGGTTGCAAGAGGTTGCTGGCAGTCGATAGCGTGATATCGGTTGCAAAGAAGTAAAGTTTGCTACACTGAACGCCTCCTTGCACTTGCATTGGTCGCTAGCAGATAGTCATGGTGTCCTATAGTTTGCATGGAAGACAGACTTTCTTTGAAAGCCACTGCAGGCATCAGTCTGTCAAATCCTACTCAGAATGTAAATATTCTGCTAGACTACATACTCTACATACTCTGGCTCATGTAGTTTGGCATTAAAATCTAGGAGAAGCTATCACTGTGTTGTGAAATCAGACTGTTTTACATGAACAAAGACAGTAACATGGAGGCAGCTTGGCTCATGCTAACTGCTAACTGAAGCTTATCTTTCCATGATTAGTTGCTGTTGTCATGACAATTAACTAAAGACACCTAAGTGTGAATCTAGTCTAAGTTGTTAGATGCAAGATATTAATTGTTGAGATTTTTCAAACTAAACTGAAGAGGTGGTCAGCTTGACCAACATTAGCATACATGGAGCTACGCCATTGTCAAGCTTATATCTGTTGCTGTATTTTTGTAAAGTATCTTCCTTCCAAAGTATTCCTCTGGGTTTCTTTCTGTCCTCTTTCCTTCAGATTTGAACCATTCAGGCACCATTTGGGTTTTGTAATTGAAAGCTGAGAGCAGACTGTCTCTCACGACCTCCATCAGCGCTCCATATTCAGCTCCGAGGACCCCCCGCATGTCAAACCATGTTTGGTGGGACAGCAGGTGGCCCGTCGCCTCCCTTCATCCCTCTCTCCCTGCTCGTATCGCTGACAGTCTGCGGCAGGGTTGTTTATTGCTGGCACGCCGGATGCTGCTTGTAGGACATTAGTCTTTTAGTGCGAGGTTTATGAGTGCCGTCACTCACCATCTGTTAACTGCCGGGGTGCCTTTAATCGTTCCCGCCACCAGAGATCGATAAGCCTGCCAGGTCGCCACAGTGCCTGCAGCGCGCTGAACGGGTGACTGAGTGATTACAGCTGTTTCATTGCTTATATTGCATTGCATTGTTTGGCTGGCACATAAGCTTTATAGGGTGGAGACAGAGAAGAAGAGGAGAAATGCGAGACGAGGGGTAGAAGAGAGCGATGACAAGATAATTTCACACCCTCCTGGTTATTGGTTTTAAGGGACGAGCTTTTCAGAGTTTGGCAGCAAATCCAGAGCAGAGCAGAGGGCGGGTGCTGGCGTTTGGATGAGGCCAATAAGGCTACTTCTCTCTGTCTATCTGTCTAAGTTTTTAAAGAGCTGTCAGAGAGCGTCCGTTCGCTCTGCAGTGATGATGATGGTCTGTCCGCCTCCATCAGATTCATGAAAAACACAACATTTATCAAAATAGCAACAGCAAAAAAGGCTGTGAAAAATGTATACTAGGCTAAGTAACGCCGACATTTTCTGTGGAATGTGGATGGCTGCTTCAGCAGTTAAATCAGTTTATGACCCTTTATCGGCAGAATACCTGTATCTGCATTTTGCACTGATGAATCAACTGGCCACTTGTATTGCAATCAACATTAATCAGAAGCTTGTGTGTTGCTTTTAAAACAGTCTGAGGCAAAACACAACTTAATACTTTTTATAAAATGCTTCAAACTTAGTAATAAAAGGTTTTAATATAATTCTAAGAGAAAAAAATGAGGATTACAGACATGATTTTTGGTGAGGAAAAGCACATAAAATTACTTTTTAAAGTTGGAATGAGATTCACATCGTTGAACTCTTGGGATCAATAGCCACTTTTAATATTATTATTATTATTTTACTCATTTTCACTCACTTTGTGTTCATACATCTCTCTGCATTTAATCATTATTAAGGGGGGTCATCTGATTGTTGGGGTTTTCTCTACTTTCTTTCTTGTGTAATTTTAGGATCCTTAGCTTACGATGTAAATGTAACAAATTTCGCACATGTAGGACTAATAACCGTTAACTTATCTTAACCTCTGTGGGGATGAACAAAAAGTAGTTTACCAGCATAATATAATCTGCAGTATGATCATTGCTTTAGCAATGTAACAGATAGCTTTAGGATGGCCTTAAGATGTTTATGCATACGGTTATCATATTAACTTTGTATTTCAGATGCAGTTATAACTATTTTATACACATTGCATATCTGTGCTTATTTTGAGTTGATGTTTGGTTCATTAAGGGTCTTAAGCTTCACTGGTGTGACTGTCCAGATGATCCATGCTGAGGGAAAACTAGAACATAGAAGGATTGCAATACATGCTTACAAAACACTTATATCAGGTTATTTTATATTAAGGTTTCATTAGAGGTTTTTGATTAGAACATTTATTTAGTAGAAGACATACACATAGTCTCAGTGAGCCTCTGGTCTGGTAAAAGGTCAGAAGTGCGAGAGGTGACATAGAGGCTGAGTAAGGTCAACACACACACTTTTAGTTAGATTTGTTTAGAGGAGAGGTTACTCATGTCTGGTGCTAACTGCGAAAGTGTCTCGGTAAAAGAGGAACCGTTTCTTGGTGTCTCGGCAAGAAAGAGGAACAAGACAAGAACTGAAAGGTAGACAGGAAGGGCCAGCCATGAAAATAGAATAAGATGTTCTGTGTTAAAGGTCATTGTGGTGTTGATTTGACGTATGTGTAAAATGTATCTGTGACGCATGAAGGGGCGTCAGTAAACAAACCCTGATGTTATAAAATAATGGTTTGTGCTTTAGTAATTCGAAGATCAATTGCTGTTTCTAGTGATCTTCCCACGTGTGAATTAAAATCTTCGTTTGACTTCACCCGGCCGGACCAGTGTGGTTATTCTTCGATCACCTCTTGTACCCTTCCTCAACTTTTGAACCTTAACACCTCCTAAGACCCGAACTCTTCCACAGCATGCATTTTTAATTTCTCTTTGATATTTGGGCTGATTGGGACCCGATGAATGTAAAAACAAAGAATTAGCAGATTTTTTTTTTTTTTTACCTAATTTTTGTTTTTAAGAAAAATGAGAGCCACATATGAGGATATTCATTTAAAATTTCGATAGAACAGTAGCAGTATAATGTCCTCATAAGTGGATATCAGGCCCTTGTGGAGCAAAATTGAATATTTTGGTCTAAATAACCCAAAATGTGATGTCCACATATGTGGACGCCAGGTCCTAGGACAGGGGTGGGCAATCTCAGTCCACGAGGGCCGGTGTCCTGCAGGCTTTAGATCTCACCTTGGGTCAACACACCTGAATCACATGATTAGTTCGTTACCAGGCCTCTGGAGAACTTCAGGACATGTTGAGGAGCTAATTTAGCCATTTAAATCAGCTGTGTTGGTTCGAGGACACATCTAAAACCTGCAGGGACACCGGCCCTCGTGGACTGAGATTGCCCACCCCTGTCCTAGGAGGATAAAGCACCTTGAGGCAACTGTTGTTGTGAATTGGTTTTATATAAATAAAATTGGAACTGTTTCTGCCTTAAAACTTTACTCATCAGGTCGAATCAAGTCTTTAAAGGGGCCTATTGCTTCTGGTTATTTCCTGTCATATATCTCATGTTCCAGCGCTGGTCTCTTCTTTGTCTTTCGATTGCTGCCTTTAGTGGTTGCCAGAGCCAATTCATCTGTCTCTGTCTCATCCTATCCCTAGCATCCTCCTCTGCCTCACCACCCTCTACATGTCCTCCTTCACTACATTTATAAATCTTCTCTGTGGTTTTCCTCATCCATTGTCCAACACTTCCGCTGTCCCTCCTCTCCAACTTTCTCTCGAAACCGCTCAACCTCAGCTGTCCCTCTGATGTACTCATTTTTAATCTTGTCCATCCTGATCATCCCAGTGAAGATCTTAACATCTCCAGCTTGAAAACTGTCTTTGTCCAAGCCATATATCCTAGTAGATCTCACTACCATCTTGTAAAACTAAGTTGGCTGTTCATATTAAATATGCCCAATGAGGTCAGTGTATGTAGAGTGATCTCTTTGAGTCAAAAACTCGGGCTGCAGACTGGTATTTTATTTAATTGACTCTTGGATGTCACAAAAAGGGGAAGTACCTAATATGGTCATCTCAGGAGCAGAGCTTTGGCTCCGAGCAGAGAGACCCCACCCTCCAAATGTCCAAGCCTTTAATCTGCAAGGGTCAGCCAATCAAAAGATTAAAGAGAGGATGGTACCCCAGGATGCAATGTCTCTGGGATACTTTTTTCTTCACACGACTTTAAATCACACCAAGAGCATTTCTAAAGTGCCGTGTTTAGTCTGCACGGGGTCTTTTATTTTGTGACTTGATGAAGCTTCTGTTCATATTTTTAATGACTGGAAGTGAAGAGCCACTTCTTGCTGCACCAAGGCCCAGCATAAAGACAAGTGTGAATCCAGTGAAGCAACTCGTGTTTTAGGACAAAAAACGGAGCTGGTTTTTGGTTTTAGTTGACCTCATCTGTGGATGCACCCACTGCAAACATTTATAACTCAGGGTAACTCCTTGAAATATATCAAACTTTAGATAGTTTCATATTTTCAGTGTATTTAGTTTTTCACATCTTTCAAGCCACTGGAAGAAGATGAACTGATTTCGAATAGAAATAAATCAATTTAAGTAACTGTTATCCGTCATAAAGATGTCAGTTTATGAGAGATTAGGAAAATATGGTGGGAATGGCTGACACATACCAAGCTGACTTTGATGTTTAGTGTAATCTGTGTGATCATATACAGTGTTGAATTGCTGACTATTCTGCAGTATATTGCTATCGTACTGCCACATGAATTACCTTAAAGTGACAATATACGTACATTACTGTCTACATACATTAGAAAAACATCCTCATTCTATACGTGACAGACAAACGCAGCCATCAGCGCCCATCTGTCAGCTCCTTAATGTCTCCAGGAAGAAATAAAACAGGAGCTTCTCATCCACAGCGTCAGTCTGGATGATCGGTGTGCCGATTACAGATCCATTCAGTTTCCTGTTGCAGCGATCTCCTCATCTCCTCTGCATCCTGCTTTCATTAGTTTGTGACTTTATGTCTCTGATGTTCATCCTGCTGCACTAAGAATTCAGTGTCACAGCTCAGGCTTTCAGAAGATGGTTGACGTCTTAAAATCATTTATCAAAACTGAAAAAGTCACATTGTCGTCGTGTTCTCCACCCTGTGTTAAACTTAAACTTCATGTGTCCTGACTTCTGCTTTATTTTGGAATTTTTTTATTTTATTTAATGCCTTCAGCATCTGTTTAAAAGTGTTACTGAGTCCCAAATATTTTAGAGATGCCTCTTCAGCCATGTTCACACCACTTTTACAAACTGTGACACTGATCTGTCAGTGTGGATGGTGAGGATGTTACATGTTTTTCAAGGATGCATAAACACAACCATGAGCTTAACTCTCATTAATTAGTTTTGAGTCCCAAGAGGAGACAACATGATTGGATCTGTTGTGATTAGATGAGTGTTTAACAAAGAAAAGGACCTCAGAGTCACTGTCCCTGTGCTGCTGTAGTTAGAGCTTTGTTCTTATTGCTGGAAAGAAGTCAGAAAAACAAAGACTCAAAGGGGACCCACAAGGACCAGACAGAGGTGCAGCTCAGGGGCGT